GTAAGTCGGTCCATGTGACCAATCAAAACAATCCAAAAAAAATTGATACATGTATCTCTGATTCAAGAGACGAGACCTACTTTATTAATATTAATATTGTTATTATTATTCCTTATGTATCTTTTTTTTTTATTTTTTTTTTATACGATATTAATCAATCGTTTAACTCTCATATTAAACAAAAAGTATAAAAAAGAAAAGCGAAGTCTTTAACTCATCTAGAACAAACTATCTTTAATCGATCGTGATCCGTGATCTCTATCATTTTATCTTTCTCTATCACTCTCCAATCGCTTTTTGTAATTAACTGTTCATCCTGATTAATCCTTCTAATTGAGGAGTGGATTAATTATACCGTTTTGTATTATTACTCGACAATTTAAATAGAAAAAATTAGAATTAAATATATATAATATATACACTTTTTTTTGTTCGCCTATAGAGGATCGTGATAAAAGCTATTTGAAATATTTATACATTTTTTAAAAAAATTCTAATATAGAAATGTTTACACAAATACGTTAAAAAGTATTATTTTATGTTAGAAAATATATGACTGTATTTAGGATGAAATCGTATCACTTTATTTTCTAATTGTAAAATATAAATTAGGACTAACAACGTCTATTGTCAGCCGTAGTCGAAAGAAATGCTAATAGCGTCTCGTTTAATTAAAAAATCTTTTTTCTCGAGTTGTTACCATTTGTTTCTCTTTGTTTTTTTTTCTTTCTTTCTTTCTTTCTTTCTTTCTCGACGACCACGACGTTTGCTGCGCATAGTATAACTCGTCTCTCTTCATACAAATGTCACTTCTTGTCTATCTTAAAGAGGAGGGAATTGAAAAAGGGCTCGGATGTCTCTTGAATCGGATAAAAAGCAAGCAACAATAAAATAAACACAGTATTAAAAAAAAAAAAAACAGAAAAAAAAGATATAAAAAAGAGATGAAGCTTCGCCTCGCCTATGTCTCTCACTACGCTATATATATATATATATATTATATATTATATATACATCTATATCTTCTACACGTACACATTATACACACATGGATATGTATATTTATAATTATGACGTAATATGGATATACATGGAACGTGTTTAACTTATATATTGTACAAATTCGTATCTGTGCTACACCTAGTCGATGTAAACCACCCCTACATCGCTTTAGTAACGTTTTTTCGTACTTTCACCTTTCTTTGCTATATACTACTACTATATATCTATATATATCTATATATCTATATATATATAGATATATATCTATATATATACACACACATACTATGTCTCTATTTAAATTTACACTTACGTAAGAAACCATACAGTAAGTCACAGAAGTACTCGTACCATTACGGCAAATTTGAAACAATTGATATATTTGCTCGTAATGCAATGTTTTCAAATTTTTATACAAAGAAACATATCTCTTAGGATTAATAAACTTGTCTATTGATATCAATTTTATTACTAAAAAGTATTTTATTGTAAGAGAAGTATAATTTTATACAAATGAAGAAAATAAATCATCAACTTAAAAAAATAAGATAATAGATCTTACGAATGTATATCCAATCATCTTCGAAACATTATAAAATGCAAAAATGGTCTAGCCACAAGTACTACTTAAAATTAAAATTATCTTATATATATATATCAATTTGAAAGTTTAATAATCCTAAATTAATTTCTGTGTAAATGCACTTTAAAACTTTGCATTGTATGCAAATATAAATTATTTAAAATTGACAGTACAGGCGAGTACGATTATTCCTACGACTAATTTTAAGTAGATAGTATACGTAAAGGATCTCGTCGGATCATAAAAAAACAAATTTGACTTATCGATTAAACTCGTCGAGAAAAAGAAATGAAAATAATCTTAACGAACGTATCTTCGTTAATAACCGTTATCAGAAATAGAATAAATATATACTTATAAAATAAAATATATTTAAATAGATAAGAAATATATTGTGACGTTGTTCCTTTGATATCAAAATTAGTATTTCATTTTGACATTGTTCGTTGGATATCAAAATTAGTATTTAAAAATGAAACAAATTCAATATCTTTCGGTAAATTATTAATATAACCTCAGGATATACCTTCATTAAAATTTATTTATTCTTCCAACTATAATAATATAATATTCATCTTTTCACAAATTTTTCTAATCTTCGAGTAGAATCGAGTAATCAAATACGTGATCTATAATTTAACGACAATCACCATACACAATAGTAATTGCACATATATACACGCGTCTAACATATATACGCAATTTGATATCGATCTATCGCATATACAAAATTATGTATACGTGTGTGTGTACACGAGAAGCAATAATCATACAACTACCTCCCTATCTACCTACCTACCTACCAACCAACAATAATAACAACAAGAAAAACAAGCAACAAATAGGAAGAGAGGTGGTAGTAGTGGATAACGGCGAAGCTGAATCGATCTCGTTAGCGTTCTCTTATTCCTACATTTTTTCAAATCGGTGTGCGCTGCTACGGTTAGTAAACGATAAACGTGTCTACATTCTTTCCGACATGACTATACAACGACACTAACAACGACGACGACGACGACGACGACGACGACGACAACGACGTCGAAAACGAGGACTCGCAATCGCCTTTAGGGGAGTCTTCGAGCGTGAAAGGAAAGTGCGCGCGGGCGCACAAGCGTGAAGAACTCCGAGAGAAAGCGGCTGTGCTTTCGCTCGATACGAATTTCGAGTAGAGAGAGAGAGAGAGAGAGAGAGAGAGAGAGAGAGAGAGAGAGAGAGAAAGAGAAAGAAAAAGAAAGAGAGAAAAAGAAAAAGAAAGAGAGAGAGGGAGAGAGAGAGAGAAACAGACAGACTCCAGCAGGATGGTAAAAGAAGAAGAAACAATAAAAAAAAGATTATACGATGATGAAAAGAAGGGAGGTTTTTCCTTTATTTAAGGTCTTTTTTTACAACTTATAATCTTTTTTTTTTTTCTTTCTCTCTCTCTCTCTCTCTCTCTCTCTCTCTCTCTCTCTCTCTCTCTCTCTTTTTCTTTCTTTCTCTTTCTCTTTCTGTTTCTTTCTCAATGTTCGTTTTTCCTTCTTTTTACGAGATTTTCGATGCCTACGAGTTTTTTTTTATTTTTTCACTTTTAATTGGAACGATCTAACATGATCGTTCTAACGAAGGAAAATGGAAGGAACTTTATGGAAATCGCGTTAAGTCGACTCGATTTCTCTTTCTCTCTCTTTCTTTTTCTCTTTATTTTTTTTTTTTGTGTCTCTCTGTCTCTCTCACTTTTATATCTTTTCTTTATTTTCTATCAGCTCGGAGTTTTCTTTTATCAAAATTTTGTTTTTTATATGTATATGAAAATGGCGATGTATATTCGTCGAGATTGAAAAAAAATTTTTTTCGTTTTAAAAATGCCCTTTTTTGCGTTAATCTAATCGATATAGATGAGAATATTTTAGAAATTATTAGCGACAACAAGAAATATTTTATACAATGATCCCGAATTTTCTACGTTCTCACTGATTATTTTTCGTATTTGTGTATGTCGATTAAAATTGAACGAACTATGTGTATTGATGATGTATCCGAAAGGGTTGTACAACTGAATCGAAATTGATTTAACATGTAAAAATACATTACATCGATAAAAATAGAATAACATATTTTCATTTGAAGCCTTGTTTTTTGAGAAAATCGTTCTCGTTGTGTTTATGTTTCCAGTGACGTATCAGCTGTAAAAACATTTTCTTTTGATTACACTTTCGAATTCATTGTTCTATGTAATGTTTAACATTTCACCTTCAACCGCTCTACTTATTTTCCCTTTTAGTTTAGTTTGTTTCTATCGGTCTAACTGCGAGGATGACACGTGCGGAAACAACTAAATATTTCATACAATACGATTTTCAAATCTTCTTCATTTGTACAAAAGTGGTATAAAATAACAGAACAAGAATTCATTAAGTACGGGGATTTTTTCATAATTATCATTAATCAGGTAATAACAGAAGATATTTTAATTTAAAATTATCGAAAACGATTTTCTCGAAAACATTCTTTCAAACGAACAAAATGTTACTCCTTTTTATCGATTTATACTTATATATAGAATCACCCCTTGTAAACAACACACCCTGTATAATACGAGTAAGGCCAACATTTATCTATGAATCTATCTTTCTTTTCTCTTTCTCTCTCTCTCTCTCTCTCTCTCTCTCTCTCTCTCTCTCTCTCTTTCTCTCTTTCTCTCTACCACTGTTGATTTCGAGAAAAGCAAGAGCCATATATTATATATTATCGTCTCGCTTTATTTTTCTCTGATATTTCCTTGTATCCCCAGAAAAACCCTTGTCCCCCTTATTCCCCTTTTTGGGCCGACTACAAATTTTCTTAAATAATGTACGCGATCGTTCTCGTGACGAGTGTCCCATTCACGTTCTGTACACGGTGCTTCTTGAAAGGTTTGATGACGTGGAGCCTGGTTGGTTGGTGTTTCAGTCTCCGGATACTCAGGCATGGCAGAATGATTACCTGCAAGGCACGGGCTGCGAGATGTACACGGAAACCCTCTCCCCGTCCTTTACCGGGATGACATTTCCCCAAGCCAGCGAGTAAGTTCTCGCTGCACATCAGCTGCAATACTCGCGAACATCACCAACGACACATTCACATACACGTACATTAATACACACGCACAAACGCATAATTTGCATACGTATACTTACGGAATGACGACGATAACGACAAAGACGAAGACAGCAATTATATTCGGTATAATAACTACGTTTTAATTCATTATAGAGAGAAAATGCTCGATCGTTGTGTGTTTGGACTGTTAACGAGTTTAAATTCGCATTAAATTATATTTTTTATCTTTTCTTTTGATTTTTGTTTTATTTATTTTTTTTTTCGTTTTTAATTAGACTTAATAACGTCACATGTATACACAGGACACACGCATACACACACACACACACACACA